TACACTCATCGACATCGGGCTTGGCAACACATTTTCAAGCACCATGTCTGACCGGGCGAGAGAAACAGTAGGAATTACAAAACCAGCAAAGTCGACAATTGACATAGTCCCCTCCCCTGCTGTATAACCAGATGAGAAAAGTATCCAATGATTCTTGCCATTTTCATGCTATTTCTACTTCTGAACTTCAGCATTTAGTAATTAGAAAAAATAGGAACATCTCTTATGAAAAAAAAAAGTTTTCAAAGTGATTGGATGGGGTTTTAACAAGCAGACTTACTTGGTGAGAACAATTAATCCAACTAATGCTTTAGAAACTTGCTTTTTGGCATCTTCCCCTCTGTTACTGTCACAAATCCTCATGATTAAATCATAAGCAGTTTCCATTCGGAGCAGTTTATGGTTCACGTCAGCACAGAGGGTAATACTGTTTTCATACTCGAGAATAGACGTGAAATAACCAGGCCAGATTTCCAACCTGTAAACAGAATATGTTAGATGTGGGTGTTGAAGACCGAGCTCTGATCATAAAGCCAAGTGTTATGGGCCTGAACTCAGGGTCTACAATAAATGCTTAGGAGTTGGTTTCAATTTCTTATTTTTAGTAATAACCGGTGTTTTGAAGGACCTTCCCTTAGAGATTTACCAGATGTGCTGGTTATAAGAAATATGTCATCTTTGTTAACCCATTTTTATTATTACCCACAGGCTTAAAGTATCATATATTCTTATGTATGTGAGAATATAATATATATATATACACTCCTAAGTAATATATATGCATAGATACATATAGATACAACTGCTATGATTGAAAGCATTTTCAGAGAGAAATTACCCAAGTTCAGGATGAATACTTAGGTTTCTTATGTGGCTTACACAACAAATGAATGTCTTAAGGTTTATGCTTAAGATGCTAGGATTTTTAGAGTGAATCTTTTCACTTCATTTTAAGTTTACATTAAACTTAAACATAATTGTTCATAGCCGTTGGGTACCATTTACAAGACCATCACTTGTAAACCATATGACTTCAAACGACAGTAACTTTCTCAAAAGCTTCTATATTTTTGTCTGCAGAATTTGGTACTTTCCACTTTATACAAACCTATGATTCAAGATCTGAGTGGCCTCACTTTTATTGTAATAGTTGCGACCAACTTGTTTCAAATTCATCAACTTCAAAATTCTAGAAATTGAAAGAATAGGTTGCATTAAAAGTGCGGTGAATATTAAGCATTTGGTAACATACATCAAGATACATGAGGAAAAAAAAAATCTGTCACTGACTTTGTTTATACTAACAATGAACATAAAGTGCTGATATAGCAAGTAAGTTACATTATGAGGTGGATATTAAAGTTCCTTTAACCTCAGTTTTTGTCTCCTTTGCATAAAACAAAATATCATGGAAAGGCCATCAGAATGTCCTTCATTCCCAGAAATGAACCAAAACATGTTTTCCAGACTGTGTCTCAAATTTTAATTTTGAATATTTGTTCATCACAGTGAGGATAGAATAGAAAATGAGTGTGTTTGCTCCAGAGGGAAATATGCATGGATGTGCACAGCTGAAGGCTGTTACTCCTTCTAGACAGGAGCCGGAAGTGGGGGTGGGCAGGGAGAATAATATTGAGGAAGGCCACTGAATTTGCACATGCCCAGATGAGGCTCAAGCATCATTTCATTTCATCTCAAGAACACAAAGTGCTAGAAGCAAATGGCTTTGTTCAACACCACTGACCCTCAGTAAAACACAACTAAATCTCGAGGAAACGCAATCGCACACACTTTCTAAAGAGGATGTTGTAATTGCGCAGGCAATCTGGTGAGGAGGGCTTGAGTTCTCTGCAGAACTCGAAGATAATCTTCACAGGCTGTCCTTTGTACAGGCTGACCACTTCTGTTTTCTGAGACGAAGAACAAAAAACGATTAGAGGTTCTTCCAAGGAAGCTAAGCTGCATTGCATCGCAAATCCATGTCACTTGGCCGTCGACACACCACATGGCAGGGGCCATCTTCCCACCAAGACACTTGTGGGTAGAAAACGTGATGTACGAGAAAAAAGTGGAGAGTCAGAATTAGATACTTAAATCAAAACTATTTTTTACTTAAGCTCCTGTAAATGACTTGGTTAATATAGAAATTTATAAAAGAAAATAGTGAGTCCTTCTTCCAATGCTTCGTTTTGTGAGGAAGATTCGCCCTGAGCTAACGTCCGATGCCAATCCTTCTCTTTTTGCTGAGGAAGACGGGCCCTGGGCTAACATCCATGCCCATCTTCCTCTACTTTATATGGGACACTGCCACAGCATGGTCTGACAAGCGGTGCATGGGTGCAGGCCCAGGATCCGAACCCACGAACCCCGGGCCGCTGAAGCGGATTGCAGGCACTTAACCGCTGTGCCACCGGGCAGGCTCCCAATGTTTTTTTTTCTGCTGAAGTTTTGGAGGGAATAAGAAATAAAATAAAACTATTCAAAACTTCATGATCAGCATTTTTGAGACATACTGTGCCATTAAAAAGGTAAAAATATATATTTTACCCTATATTAAATTTGGTTTAAACACTGAAATGAGTCATTAGAGAATATCCATGATAATCAAACATGACACACGGGTTTTGTTACAAGTCTGACTGGCAAGAGATCATTAGGACATCTCTACAAACGGTTGTACAGAAACAACAGGAGCTCAGCTAAAATAAAGTCAAAACGCAAGAGAAAGAGAACAATGTTAGGAAAATGTCAATAACGTTACTTAACCCGTTTACGTAGTACACGAGGTAATAATAAAGAGTTTCCATCAAATATACAACACTTTCCAAGTAGTGATTCATGCTGCTTAAGTAACTCTGCACGGAGATTCCCATCCTCTATGTCTGGCATATAGTCAACGTTGTACTGATACGTGACGCACTGGGGATGGGACGTCACCCGGAAATGGTTCGCAAAGAGCCTTACAGCTGTACCTTTCGAGCCTGAAAAATGGAGCCACATGTCAATAATGAAACAACAAACTGGTGGCTGATTGGACCCAAGACAATTTGGACTGCACAACATTGAGAGCCAAAGTTAGGGCAAACAAAGAGATTAACAACATGACGTAAACATTTATCTACACCTGTCGTCCAGAATACCTAACATCATTATTTCGGTGAATCCTTATACCAGCATACATTTAGAAAGTTAATACATGATTAACATATTTAACAGCAATAGAAATATCAAAATAAAACAAACCTTTTGGAGCATAAGGCTTCCAAAAGGGGGGAAAAGCCACTGTATGTCATAGTGTTTAGTTTAAAAAAAAAAAAATCTCAGTGCAAACAAAGAACTGGATCATTCTATCTAAGCAGCTATAAAAAAAGAAAAATAAAGAATGTATCTCTAAAATAAGTCTTCTAAATAGTAAGGACTGTAAAATAAGTCTTCATTTCTGGAAAAGTGAATGTTATTTCAAAAACGTGAGAGGGTACCTCCACTTACACGGTGGCATGAAGCTTTACAGGACTCTCTTAAGCACCAACATTGTCTTATCAAAAGTTTAAAAGGAACGACTCCATCAAATTGGATTGTTAACAGCCAGCGTACCTGTTTTCGACTCTCTGACATGGTCCAGGTTCTGCCGAGTATTCACTACGAGATCTCGAAAAACTCCACCATAAGGCCTCTTCTCCCTCAGCGATGCCGCCCGCAATCCAGCCAAGAGCTGAAGTTCCCCTGTGGATAAACATAAAAGCCATGAGTTTATACAATAAAAAGGGAAATGCAAATGGAAAGGACAATATGAAACCCCACCTATTCAGTAAAATGGTCAAGGTTGTTTGAGGTAGAAAAGATGATGTTAAGGGGTCCAAACAACATTATTTCAGTAGTGGGTCAACAGGTCAGGGGAATGTCCCTAAGAAGCCTTTCCGGGCCACCCTATGGCTTAGCGGTTAAGCGCGGGCTTTCCGCTGCTGGTGGCCCGGGTTCGGATCCCGGGTGCGCACTGACGCACTGCTTCTCTGGCCATGCTGAGGCCACGTCCCACATACAGCAACTAGAAGGATGTGCAGCTATGACATACAACTATCTACTGGGGCTTCGGGGAAAAATAAATAAATAAATAAAATTAAGAAGCCTTTCCCAACAAGTCTCCAGTGCCCATCAGTGGTTGCCATAGCACTTCATGCATCGCTGCTGTTTCATCAGATATGTGTTCCAGAGTACAAGATTCTGCAAAGCAGAAACCTTGAGATCTCTCTACATCCTTATAGGCTTATCAGCTGGCACCGCACTGCCCTCTAGTGGGCATCAGAAAATGCTGGCTGAATGAACAACCCATCAGCAAGTCGTGTAACTAGCTTTTGATACAGAACCACTGATCTATTGCTTTTACTAACAGCGACTGGGAAAGGGTCTCATGCTATTTTCATTTCATTCTAAGATTCATACAGATTTAAATATTTATTTTACAAGGTCACTATTTGAATGGCAGTGCCCAGCTGTCTTTCAGTGAGTGGTGGTGCATTGTGAAAGAAATATGCACACATTATCCATAAACCCTGTACCCCTGAAGGGCCAGTACGGTCCACGCCTTGGGTTATAAAAAAAATGGCTTTCTTCAAGATGTTACTTCTGGAAGCTATTATTCCTAGTTTATGATGATCTTACAAAATATTAAGAGGATGAATTTCTATAATAGAAAAACTTTAATTTTACACACAAAATTTTTTAATGATTTTATCAAACTCTCAGTTTCTGATACATCCAGCAATCAAAATAATATTCAAATTTCAGTGAAAGAAAACAGCAGCCATCATTCCTTAGCACTTGCTGCATACAATGTATTTTACATATAATATTTAACCACAACCATCAGAGATGTGATACAGGTGATAAAAAATAGGTATTTTAATTTTGTGTATTTAAATTTATAACTTCATTTTATGGAGTCTGGATTTTGTCTCAGTTTGTTATAAAAATATCTATATTTCTTACTGTTTTAGTGTTTCAAGCTTTGACCCATCACAATTTATTTTGCTATAAGAAGCAAGATGAAGGAGAGTGGCATCGGCAAGATAGTGGAACAGGAAGCCCTGGACACTCCTTCTCCCAGTGAACACACAAATCCAACAGCAATACACTGATCATTCCCTTTGCGAGAAATCCAGAGAATCACTGAGAGGCTCCTGCCCCCTCAGCAAGTGTGAAACCAGCCACATAGAAACTGATAGAAAAATTGGAGACGCCTTCTCACCATAATTCCCAAGCCCAGCACAGTACTATACGATCAGGAGGAAATATCCAGCAAACAGCTTCTTTGTGCTGAGGAAAAGAGCTGGACCCCACATCCAACGTCCCAACTTTTCTGGGTGCTGCCTGAAGGACTAGCTTCTATCTCGCCTGCCTCAGAGTGATGATGGACCCAGCATATGCTGGACCCCTGAGGGATACAGAAAATAAAGGCAGTGGTTTGACCTAGCATGTGGGTACTCACCATAGTTCCTCCCCACTGCCTCAGTGAAGAGAGAATGGGATCATAAGAGACTACTATAGAAAATTATATGTTAACAAACAAGATAACCTAGAAGAAATGGATAGATTCTTAGAAACATACAACCTACCAAGAATGAATTATGAAGTAATAGAAAATCTGAATAGACCTATAACTATTAAGAATATTGAATCAGCAATCAAAAACCTCCCAACAAAGAAAAACCCAGGACCAGATGGATTCATTGGTGAATTATATTATTTAAAGAATGAATGCCAATCCTTCTCAAACTCTTGCCAAGAATTGAAGCAGAGAGAATACTCTCAAACTCATTTTATGAGGTCAGCATTATCCTGATTCTAAAGCCAGAAAAAGACACTATAAGAAAAGAAAACTATGGGCTGATATCCCTGATGAATATAGATGCAAGAATCCTCAACAAAATACTAGCAAACTGAATTCAACAGCACATTAAAAGGATCATATGCCATGACCAAGTAGGATTAGTCCTTGGGATGCAAGGATGATTCAACGTATGAAAGTCAATTGACATGATATACCAACATTAACAGAATGAAAGATGAAAATCACAACCATCTCAATAGAAGCAGAAAAAGCATTTGATAAAATTCAACACCCTTTCATGATAAAAACTCGATAAATGAAGGAAAATTACATCAACATAATAAAGACCATATATGAAAAGCCCAAAGATAAATTCATATTTGGTAGTGAAAAACTGAACGCTTTTCGTCTAAGATCAGGAACAATGCAAGGATTCCCATTCTCACTACTTCTATTCATCATAGAAGTGGAAGTTCCAGCCAGAGGAATTAGGCAAGAAAAAGAAATAAAAGGCATCCAAATGGAAAGGAAGAAGTAAAATTGTCCTTGTTTGCAAACAAGATCATCTTATATATAGAAAACCCTAAAGACTCCACGAAAAACTGTTAGAAGTAATAAATGAATTCAGTAAAGTTGCAGAATACAAAAATCAACATACAAAAATCAGTTGCGTTTCTATGTACTAACAATGAACTATCTGAAATTAGGAAAACAATCCCATTTACAGTAGCATCAAAAAGTACAGAATACCTAGGAATAAACTTCACTAAAGAAGTGAATGACTTGTACAGTGAAAACTACAAAACATTGAGAAATAAAATGCCATGGGCCCAGCCCGGTGGCATAGTGGTTAAGTTTGCGGGCACTCCACTGAGGCGGCCCAGGTTCGCAGGTTTGGATTCCAGGTGCACACTGATGCACCACTTATCGAGCCATACTGTGGTGGCATCCCATATAAAGTAGAGGAAGATGGGCACAGATGTTAACCCAGTACCAGTCTTTCTCAGCAAAAAGAGGAGGATTGGCAACAGATGTTAGCTCAGGGCTGATCTTCCTCAAAAAAAAAAAAAAAAGAAAGAAATTAAAGAAGACACAAATGAAAAGACATCCCATGTTCATGGATTGGAAAAATTAACATTGTTACAATGTCCATACTACCCAAAGCAATCTACAGATTCAATACAATCTCTATCAAAATCTCAATGGCTTTTCTTTTTTTTTAACAGAAATAGAAATAAACAGTTCTAAAATTTGTACGGAACCATGAAAGACCCCAAATAGCCAAAACAATCATGAGAAAGAACAAAGCTGGAGGCATATTCCCTGATTTCAAAATATATTACAAAGCTATAGTAATTAAAACAGTATGGTACTGGCCTAATGACAGCAATGGAACAAAATAGAGAGTCCAGAAATAAATGCATATAATCAACCCACATTCAACTATGGTGCCAAGAATACACAATGGAGAAAGGATGTATCTTCAACAAATGGTGATGGGAAAATTGAATATCCACATGCAAAAGAATGAAATTGGACTCTCATCTTACACTACACACAAAAATCAACTCAAAATGGATTAAAGACTTAAACATAAGACCCAAAACTGTAAAACTCCTAGACGTAAACATAGGAAAAAAGCTTCGCGACATTGGTCTTGGCGATCACATCATGGATATGATACCAAAAACACAGGCAACGTAAGCAAAAATAGACAAATGGGAATTCATTAAACTGAAAAGCTTCTGCACAGCAAGGGAAACAATCAACAGAGTGAAAAGGCAACCTATGGAATGGGAGAAAATATTTGCAAACTATGTATCTGATAAGGGGTTAATTTCTAAAATATATAAGGAACTTCTACAACTCAATAGCAAAAAAACTAATGACTCAATTTAAAAAATGGGGAAAGGACCTGAACAGACATTTCTCCAAAGACATACAAATGGCCAACAGGTATATGAAAAGATGTTCAAGGTCAGAGTCATCCGAAAATGCAATCATCAGAAAAGTGCAAATCAAAATCACAATGAGATATCACTTCACATCTGTAAGCATGGCTATTATCAAAAACCAAGCAAACAAAAAAACAAAAGGCAACGAGTGTTAATAAAGATTTGGAGAAACAACATGTGTTGGAGAGGATGTGGAGAGAAGGGAACTCTCATACACTGCTGGTGGGAGTGCAAACTGGTGCAGCCACTATGGAAAACAGTATGGAGATTCCTCAAAAAAATCAAGGATAGAACTACCATATGATCCAGCTATTCCACTGCTGGGTATTTATCCAAAGAACTTGAAAACACCAATTTGTAAAGGTACATGCACCCCTGTGTACATTGCAGCGTTATTCACAATAGCCAAGACTTGGAAGCTACCTAAGTGCCCATCAAGGGACGAATGGATAAAGAAGCTGTGGTATATATACACAATGGAATACTACTCAGCCATAAGAAACGATGAAATCCAGGCATTTGTGACAACATGGATGGACATTGAGGGTATAATGCAAAGTGAAATAAGTCAGAGGGAGAAGGTCAAATACCGTATGATTTCCTTCATTAAGTAGTAGATAATAACAACAATAAACAAACACATAGGGACAGAGATTGGATTGGTGGTTACCAGAGGGGACGGGGGGAGGGAGGAGGGTGAGAGGGATAATTCAGCACAGGTGAGTGGTGATGGGTTGTAATTAGTATTTTGGTGGTGAATGTGATGTAATCTATGCAGAAATAGAAGTACAATGATGTACACCTGAAATTTTTACAATGTCATAAACCAACGTTACTGCAATAAACAAAATTAAAAAATAAATAAAAATAAAAATAAATATAGATTGGGAGAAATTTGACCCCTTGTATACCCTGATGGGAATGCAAAATGGTGCAGCTGCTATGGAAAACAGTATGGAGATTCCTCAAAAAATTCAAAATAGAACCACCATATGATCCACGCAATCCCACTTCTGGGCATTTATCCAAAAGAATTGAAATCAGGATCTCGAAGAGATATTATCACTCCCATGTCCACTGCAGCACTAGTCAAAATAGCCAAGCCACGGAAACAACCTAAATGCCCATCAACGGATGAATGGATAAAGTTAATGTGGTATGTGCGCACAATGGAATATTATTCAGCCTCAAAAAAAGAAGAAAATCCTGCCATATGCAACAACATGGATGAACCACGATGATATTAGGCTAAGTGAAATAAGCCAGTCACAGAAAGACAATCCACGATGACATTAGGCTAAGTGAAATAAGCCAGTCACAGAAAGACAAATATTGCATAATTCCACTTATATATCTAAAATAGTCAAACTCATAGATGCAGAGAGCAGAATAGCAATTTTCAGAGAGTGGGGGAGGGGGAAATGGGGAGTTGCTACTCAAGAGGTATAAAATTTCAGTTATGCAGGGTAAGTTCTAGAAAGCTGCCGTACAACACTGTGCCTATAGTTAATAATACTGTATTGAACACTTAAAAATATGTTGAGGGTAGATCTCATGTTAACTGTTCTTACCACAATAAACAAAATTTTAAGAATTAAAAAGAAGCTGTTTGGAGAATCAGATCTAAGGTTTCATTGCATTAGCTGAATCCTTGGCAAATGACCACACCTGGGCCTGTGTGCTCATCTGTATAATGATGATAACCTTTCACCTTTGAGGATAAGACAACGTAGGTGAACACTGAGATGTTCAAGAGCTGCTCAAGCTTTCAGGGCAGCCATTTACAAACCCAAGAAAATAATGTTCCTAGAATTCCTAGTTAACTTAGACTTAATGTATAAAAATGCATGGTCTAAATTTGAAAAGCAGTTACATTGAATTCGCTAATGAATAATAATCACCATTTCTTTTCCATAAGCCTTAAAATATAGGGGGAATAAAAAATTGACAGTCAGATAATTCATTGCAGGGAAGGAAATAGTTGCACGCTGTACATTCTTCCCATCCTGCAAACCTCATGGGAATACTGGGGCTATCTGTCCAGAATTTTATCGCTGTGGTGCACCTTCATGTATTAAGCATCCCCTTCCCTCCACCATTTCCCTCTTCCCTCTTTTCACCTGAAGGCTGAGATGTTCCTTCTGCGCCTCTTGGCTGTCCAGGCTCAACCACTTGGCCCTCTGCTGGCAGTGGCTGGAGTCTAGGCTGAATTTGACCAGGTTGCTTGGTCTGCATGTTTTTGGAGATAGAAATAATGAGTAGAGTTATCTACTCTTTAGAAATAAGAGTATCCACTCTTTTTATAAATAAGAAATAAGAGTATCCACTATTTTTATAAATAAGAAATAAGAGTAGTTCATTCATCATCCAAAAGTTACTGTACGCCTGCCATGTGCCAGGCACTAGCAGGACACAAAGCAAAGGGCCTCCTTTAAAAAGCTCACATTCCAGTGACAGAAAATAAAAATAACAATTTCTATAGCATAAGTTTGGGAATTGCTAGGGAAATAAAGAAAAAGACAGAAGAAAGCCAAGTAAGGAAAACTGGGAGTTACTGGGAAGGTGGGGCGTGAAGGGGCTGGCTGCATTAATTAACAGAGGGCAAAGCAGAGCCTCAGTAAGAAGCTGACACGGAATGAAAGACTTGAAGGAGGCGAGTGAGTTAACAAGGTTACACAAGCCGCAGGTGGAGAAAGGAGAGGGCAAAGTTCCTAAGGTAGAAACGGTCAAGGAAGAGCGAGGTGGCTAGTGCGGCTGCAGCAAGGCTAAGAACCTGGAGAGAAGCAAGAGAAAGAAGTCAGACAGGTAGCAGGAGGGAGGCCACCTTAAGGAATTGCCTCTGACTCTGAGAAAATGGGACCCCTTATAGCGTGTTGGGAAGAGGAGCAACATGAACCGATTTCTCTGGTTCTGTGTTGGAAACAGACTGAGCGTGAGACCAGAGCAAAAGCAAGAAGACCAGTTGGGAGGCCACTGGCAGTGTCCAGCAAGGGACGCTGGTGGTTTGGACCAGAGGGTAATAACAGAGGTGCTGAGAAATTGTCAAATACTGGACACTTGTTTGAAAAGCAGAGAACAGTATTTCCTGGTTGTTTAAGTGAAGGGTTTGAGGTAGAGAGGAGTCTAGGACAAAGCCAGACTTTGGCCTGAGCAACTGGAATGAGGCTTCTTCAGAGGAAGTGAGTGGGGCAGATCAGGAGTGTGACATGTGTGGACATCTGTGGGGTGTGAGGTAGTGCAGGAGAGGGGGCTGGCCGGAGATAGAAATAGGGGGCCCTGTCCACACACCAGAGAGCACTGAAAGCCATGACAATGAGATGACCAAGGGAGTGAGTCCATGTATCAAGGAGAGAGGCCCAAGGACTAGGTCCCAGGCATATCAACAGGGCAGGACAAGAACCCAGCTGAGGAAGCTAACAGCAGTGGTCAGGGAGGTAGGAAAGGAACCAAGGATGTGCAGTGACCTGAACACCACGTGGAGGGAGTTTATCAAGGAGAAAAGAGGGCTCAACTATTCCACAGCCAAGTGATAGAGCAAGTACAAGGAGGACCGAGAAGCGACCTGCAGATTTGACAAAGTGAAGGATCCTGGGGAAGCCAGACAAGAGCCCGTTCAGTGGAGCGATGGGGAGAGAGCCGGAGTGGAGAGAGAAGAGGGAGGAAGATCTAGAGTTCAGAGTAGAGAGATTTCTGCAATGGGAAGCAAAAAGAAAGGAGCTGTGAGGGGACTGGGATCCAGGAGAGGTTTCTTACTGGATGGGAGTAAACTCAGCCGTTGTAAGCAGACAGGAACGATCTAGGAGAACAAAAGCCTGCTGACTCAGGAGATAGAGGGGAGAGTTGCCTGGGGATAGAGAAACCGTAAAGGGGCCCAGGGTGTAAGTGGACATAGTTTTTTTAGGTGGGAGCAGAGCTGGTACCCTGGGGTGTCAGGTGAGGGGGAGGCCTGGGTGTGGAGATGCAGTGGGGAAGATACTGAAGTTCTGCTCTGATGTTCTATGTCTCAGTGACACAGGAGTTGCTGTGAAAGGCTGAGAATTAGGATGGAGGAGGAGGAGTTGAGGTTTGAGGGAAGAAAAAAAGGGAGAGAGAAGCAACAACCACAGAGGAGAATGAATGGACCCAGATGGTGTCATGTGACCGTCAGGCCAGCACCGGGACCCGCCGGAGGGCGTCAAAGCAAGACCGGGATAAGAGAAGACAGAAACGCAGACGGACAGCAGGTATGACAAGTCTCAAACAATATTGCAGACTCTATCCAACTCAGGCTGTGCAAGTATTTTAATTTTTGAAGTCACCCCTGAGAAATTGAGAGGCTACAGAATTTGGAAGCCTTTCCATCCACTCAGGGTTGAAAGTCAGTCTGTTTGCACATGTGAAAATAATGTAAGAGGGAAGCGGAGGAGAGGCTCCCCACGTAGGTAAAGCCCGCCACACCGGCATCTGTAAAATCTGACTCTGCTTCTGAAATGTATTCGTTGTCTCTCAGCAGGAGAGAACTCTATACCTGAACTACAGGGGCTCAACAACCGGTTCTCTCTCTTGTCAGCAGAGGCAGTGTGTTGTGCATAAAGGAAATAATGAACATTACAGCGCTCACGGCCGCAGCGGCTCCAGGTGTGGCGGCGGCTGCAGGTGCGGCTGCGGCGGCTCCAGGTGCAGCAGGTTGCGGGGACGCCCGACCACGCGCTCTGCCACGGGCTCGAGTCCTGGCCCTGCCAGTCATTGCTGTCCTGAAGGGGATAAGCCCTTAAAGAACACGGTTATATTAGGCATCTCTGTGTAGTTGCCTGGTAACATTTTTTAAACCATGACTTCAAATAAAGTAGCCAGTTATTAACTACACACATTTTCCAATCACACCAGGAAGGATTGCTCCGAAGTTGTCAGTGTCCTGTAGTAAAAGATAGGGGACCTGGTAAAATAGTCATAGAAATGTAAGAAAATTGTCGATTACGATTCTTTTCCCCACGCAGACTCACAAGACACTGTGGGTTACAGTGTTGGCGCGTACGGGTCGGGTGCGTCCTAGTTTCTTCTCACCTACAGGCATCCCCATCGCACAGTAAGGGGCCCGGGTGCCCCCTGGATTCCCCCCCACACACATCTGAGCTACTGCAACCTGAACCGGCCCTCTGCCCCCCATCTCTGGTCTTGGTCCTCTAGACTCGGCTCTCACAGCTCACCTACCTTCCCGCCTCCTCGGGAATTAGGCTGATCTCTGCGCGCTGCACCCGGAGCTCTGCGGCCTCGCGTCCCTCTCCTCCCAGCCCCACAGCGTCTGAGCGCTGGTCTCTGCGGGGTTAGAGGCGCCAAGCTCCTTTCCAAGAGGGTTGGCCTTTCCTGGAACACAGCCCTGTTCCCCGCAGCGGTCACTAAGTAGGGTTTGGGATGGAGGTAGGACCAGCCTGGCCGCCTTGCGGGATGCGTCCTACACTCAGCAGTGCAGGTGCCGGGCCGCACCCACCCCAATTTCAATTTCAATCCTGCCGCCCGGCCTCCTCCGGCGCCGCCTCCATCCTGGCCTAAGTGAGGCCGACCTTGAGCTGCACCTGGCGGATTCAGAGATGCTCCAGAGTCTTAATGGGATGGGAGCGGGGGCGGCTCTGCCGGCTCTCCTGCCCCACCTTATCTCGCCGATCAAGCATCGCCGGATTAACCTGTGAAGTGGCTTTACATAACGACGTGCACTTGGAACTCCGGAAACTTACGCCAAATCCCTGCTGTTGCCAATATGACGAAATTCTAGCTGCTGTGACTGTCTTCGGATTCAAACCTAGGCTTATCCGTAATCGTCTCCTTGGCACAGATCCCTAAGAGCGGATTCGCAGTGATTTGTAAGCTTTTAAGTATTTGGGTCATTTCTTAAAAATGATATTTGTTGTATCAGTCTTTTTGTTAATTTCTTCCAGGTTTCTGTCATTCTTTGACCTTGCCAATTAAAATAATTTTTTAAATCACCAATTCTTTCTTTTGATATTTTTATAGTTGCATTGTTTTGCATTTAAATCCTTGATACACACACTGAATACCTATTTTAAGGAAGCGAGAGGTCGTTATCTGGCACTTTTTCCTGAAGAATCCTAACCTTACTCAGTACTTGGAAATGCCACCATCATCCTATAGAAACCTGTGTGCACCGTCAGCTCTAATTCTAAACTCAATTCTGCACTGTCCATGGTGCACCAGTAACACAAGGTTTTCATTGCTGTATCTTGAAAATAGCCCAAAGACTAGAAAAGCCTAAATCTGCTAAGCACTCAAAAATTCCTGGCTATTCTTTCAAATGAACTTTAGAATCATTGCATTGAGTTCCAGAGCACAGCAAATTCTATTATCCTGTTAATTTGGGGTTGTACTGAACTTAGACATTGATTTAGTTCTTCCAAGTTACAGAGTCCTTGCTAAGATTTTCCCGGAAAATCTTTGTGCTCATAAGTGCTTCCGAGGAAGATGCCCGTGGGTGTCCAGGTTACTGCTTAGATTTCGCTGTAGAAATGGGCCCCGAGTGCATTCTGGGTAGTGGCCGTGCCTATTGTGTGTGGTTTGTTTAAGATTCTGGTTTGTCTGGTGGAGGGTAACCCACAAGAGAGGCTGTGGGAGCAAAGGGGATCAGAGGAGACAACTCTGGAGCGCTGGATTGGATGAGACACTCCCAGACATCGCTTATAGACTCAATGTTCTGTCCCGGGTCCAGCCCAGTCCTCAGGTGTAACAGATTCCAAGTAAATATTTCCTGAACCTGCATTCAGCACAGCTGGACTGCATCTTTCAGTGGGTACCTACCTCTTCATGGTCCTTGGGACTCCTTCCAGTAGGTCTTCTTTAATGCCTCCAGAAAACTCGTAGTTTTTCTGCCCACTGCTATTATGGGTTATGTGATAGGTTTATTCTTGATCACCAAATGGTTTACATGTCTGTTTATTGTTGGTCCTTCACCAGTAGAATGTAAGGGCCATAAAGGAAGGGACTCAGCCTGTTCTTTCTCTGATCCTTCTCCAATAGATATAATAGTACCTGGCAAAGAATAGGTGCTCAATTAATGTGTCAAGAGAGACTAAATGGATGGATAAATGATTAAATTTACTAATGAATTCAATGGGAAATATGACTACCTTATAACTCTTATAAGTGACCCCAAAGGCCACAGAGTTCTGATTATCATTAGTTCTGAAGGGATGACATGTAAAAAATTGCTGATGTTCTTTCTGGGGAAAAAAAAAGGCAGGGAGAGCAGTGGGAGAGAAAGTGGTATTTAAGCTGGAAAAATGGAGATACATAGGCAAAAAAGCAGTAGATAACTAAATACAATTTGGATATATATATTGTAAATATATTGGATATACACACCTTTATTCTTGTATTTATTTGTTTATACCTACAATGAGAAAACACATACACCAAAATAAGATAAATAAAAGCCGACCAATGGAAAAAGATGATGAAATTAAAGGTGAAAAAATACACAGAACTAGTAAAGAAAATGAAGAGGTGGTTCTTTAAGAAACCAATATAATAGCTAAACTACCTTGCAGCCTAATTAAGACAAAGAGGAGAAATCACAGAGAATCTTTGAAAAGAGAATGAAGAAATGATCAAAGGGAGGGGAGATGGAAAGAATTCTAAGAGAATAATTAGCACACCCCTGCAAATTGATGGAGAAACCTGGGCAAAATGAACAGTATTCTACAAAAATAGGCTACAAAGAGGCCTGCCTTGACCACTCTACATACAATCACATTGGTCAACCTCTCCCTCCCTGCTTCATGCTCCCCCTCCGCCATGTACCCCCACCTCTCCGCTTCCATGAGTTTGAGGATAAATCTCATGTTAAATGGTCTTACAAAAAAAAAAAACACAAAAGACTACAAGGACATTTTTGGAGGTGATAGATATGTTTGGTACCTTGGTTGTAATGTTGGTATCACAGGTGTATGTGTCAAGGAGGGGGAAATCTCCTTTCTACCCTTCTTGTGTTCTTATGGCTGGACTAATAATAAAATTGACACAAGACCAGATTAACAAGAGAAAAACCTAGTTTAATATGTCCGTACTGGAGATCATAGACAACTGGTTCTCAGAGAGTGAATAAAGCAGGCAGTATATATATCTTTTACAAGAAGAAACAATAAATTTGTGAGGAATAACAAGACAAAGAAACTTAGATTTGAGGTATGTAATTAGTGAGGAATTTCAACAGAGTTTAGGTTTGACATAGTAAATTAACAAGGTTTGTTTATGTAGGCTTCTCGGCCCTGAATTCCCTAGCTCTGGTGATAAGGATGAAGGGAGAGCACCTTTCAATCAGGAGATTTATTTTCTGCTTTTGGGAGAAAAAGAGACAGGAGGGTTGGAATGCCCTTTTTCCTTCTCGAGTACCTTTAGTTCAAAATAATCAGTATGTTATTGTGGGATATTTTGGAGTGGCCTGCCCTGGGCCCCAACATATGCTTCTGTCCAAACACATCAAGATGTCTACATGAAATGTGTGCAATTTAAAAAAAAAAAAAAGAGAGAGAGAATAAAGTTAATACAGTAAACGTTAACAGTTGATGAATCTCAGTGAAGGATATACTGGGATACTTGTGTTACACTTGAAACTTTTCTGCAAGCTTGAAATTGTATCAAAATTAAGTTAGTTAAAATTTTTAAATGGCCTGGGAGTGGTGAGTGAGGCTTTTGTGTATTACTGGATAGCAATGCACAATACATTACAAGATACTGGAGAAGATAATATTAAGAGGCCAAAACGGAAGCCTGGGCTTATGTCAAAGTTGTGTTCAAAAGCACCAAAGTCACATTAAAACTCCAAAGAGGAAAGTGAGAAGAGATATATTCACCACTGCCATCACCTGGACCTCAAAGTGTAAATGAAATTCACATGATTCATAAATGGAGAACCTGTTATCTCTGCCTTACAGCTGAATGCTGGGCAAGCCCATCCTTTGCCAAGTCTAATCGCCCATACTAAATGGGAGCTCTTTGAATTGCTTGAACCCACCTTTTCAGTAAATATTAAAGAGTTTTCTATTCTGAGAGGACAATGGCAAACCCCAGCCCTGAATCAAATGCTGTGGATGTGTCTGCAACTAAAACACAGGCAGGCTGAAGTTTCTGAGTGAATTCTATGCAGCCACATAGAGATGACCACTGGGATTTTAGACTAGAGCACTCTCTGATTCCAGGGCTAGATTCAACCTCTTAGACATGCATGCTGTTGGGATGAAGGACCTCAGATCATACTGAGGCCTAGAGAACCCATTATGTCTTGAGTGAGATCAAAAGGCCATTCTAATAAAGAAAGACCTGTGCAACAAAATTACTCTATAACATGACATACGCTAGGAGTGGGGGTACTTGAGGGGGAGAGCAAGCAGGTCACGTCTCTGCCTCCAGGGCTGGTGGTAGAGCTACCTGAGGAGCTGCCCACTGTAGAGCTGAATGTTCTGAGCCTTGTCTCTCTCCCCACTGAGTTGAAGCAAACTGCTTAGTTCTCTCTGGGGAGTTCTCATATCGAGTGGCAGGACGCCATATCCAAGTTCACTGCTATTTGCCCCGTGGATGGTAAAATTAGTTGATGAACATTAAGATGAGTCCTCACAATGGGCTAAATGAAGAGCAGTATATATGGAAGTACAGGGAGAGGAAGAGCTTGGTTCTCTCCCAAAGGGTAACATCTGGGTATTCAAAGATTCCTCATCCATAACTAAGGGCCACACCATATGG